GAGCCTAGCAATCCTATAAAAAAAGAATCATGCTAATAAAAAGATGCCTTAATTTTGGACAAGAAGTAGTCCTATGGCCTTATCAAAAGCTTCATTCCATTCTCTATCATCGCCAAGCGAATCAAGTGCAGTACAAGCTGATTGAAAAATTGTGTGAACGAACCCTCGAATCTGTTCTAATAGATTGGAAACCAGCTGCACCCTTAACATGGTTAAACAACATCTTAAGGAAGTAAAGTTTTCCAACAACAGGATGTGCATAAGCAATACAACCTACCTAACGAACCTTTATTCTCGAGTATCAATCTTTACCAAAAGCATCCCAAATAAATATAGATGGGAAGTTCAAGTAATAAAGCATTCAAATATTAAGATCTCGCTAAATTGTATTTAAACCACTATGTAAACATGGTCCTATCAACACCAAGCCTATTTATGATAGAGTGTACTTTCAAAAACAATAATAGGCTCGTGCATTGGTAGGTGGACACCAAGTCGCTCAACCTAGGTGGATCCTAAAAATGAATAGGAAATTAGAAAAAGCACCGGATAACTTCATAAGAACAAATGAATTGATAATTGAGATAAGCTTTTATTTCATCAAAGTTATCTCTCTCGACAACCATGGGTGCCCTACCTAAGCCCTTGCTAACGTTTTTGAAAAGATATTTTATAAGCATCGATTGGTAGTAGATTTTGATGTTGATATGAGCTCTATAACAAAGCAAAAGTTCTTTGTTAAAAAGGATAACATGGGTGTTGTCAAGGACAATTCTATTTTTGATAATAGATTTTGAAAGGTCAACATGACTCTTTTAAGAAACAAAACCACTATCATTGAAACTTGTAGATTGTTTGTTTTTTTGGAAATTTCTTACAACAACAACCAAGCTTCATGCATTTAGCATTAGGATTAGCATTTCCACATAGACCATGAATCATAAATTGTGACACAATTTCAAAACAATCTAGATCTAGATTCATATTAAAAAATTTTGATGAGACAATAGAATCAATGTCCCTAGTTAATCAACATTTGAACTAAAAATCTAACCAGATCAAAAGATGACGAGTAAGGGAGGCCTCTTTTTTAGAATTCAACTCGTACAAACATTGATTAACATAAACAACAATCAAAATATTAGATGAAATTAAATTGATTTGATTGAACTAAAAAACGATTTGAAGAGATAAAATGTGTGCTTTGTGAAATCATACCAAGCAATGGTCTTACCAAAAGGTTGGCCGGATTTGATAAGAGATCATGTCATCAATTTTTTCTTTGTAGACTTGATTAATGATAGTAGCCTTATCCTCAAGTTTATAAGTTTGTTTTTTTTATAAGTTCTCTTTTTATTTCTAGTCGGTTAACATTATAGAAGAAGGTAATAAAAAGATCGAATTGCTATAACAATGACAGATTGCCATTGCATCTTAGTAGTTGTTAATCACATATCTAACACTCCATATAAGAGAGGAGGGTACAAGTATAAGACCAATTTTAAAAGCATAAGTATCGCCCTTGGAAATAGCATCATGAATCCCTTTAAATTATTCAGTTCATAGAGATTTTTTATTAGCTCTAATGTAATCGAGACGATCCACTTTAATAGTCATAAAGGCATCAATTGAGAACTTCTACAAAAGCTGATCACCTTTAACTAAGTTTGTATCTTTAAAAACTCTTTCTTGTAGTTGGTAGGTATAGTAAGCTCTCATAAGAATTCATTATCTTTTTGGATGAGGTCATTGGAAATTAGGATTCCATTAAAGGTCGGTGCAAAATCTATCCTCACTAAAGGGAAAAAGAAAAGGATATTACAAAGCCATAAAATTTGGATGGAGCTTTAAGATTCTACGCAAAGAGTCGGACCTATGTTCTAGAACAATGACTCTTTTAGGTGAGAAATCACCAATATCCCTAACAACTAACCATCAATGTCATCAAAAGTTAGTAGCAAGAATTATGAGTTATTGTTATTTCTCTTCCCTAACAATCATAAATGACCATTTATAGAATCGTCATGCGAGAAGACAATCTTTATCCATTTAAAATAATTGAACCAAACAATTTCTTGTATTTAGAGTTTCAATAAAGCTAGTGACAATATGTTCATCAAGGTTTTATAGGTCGTTTAATCCATCGAATGCACAAAGGTGAAGAGAAGCCTTATCGTGTGTATCATATATAGAGAGTTGTGTAAATTTTAGGCCATCACCTTCTAGCGACAACAAGATCCAATCAAATGGTAGGCCTAGCCATTAATCTTGAAAACATACGACCCAAGTTGAGCATTAACTAAATTATCAAGTTTTGCACCCATCGATGTAAATAAAAATAATGAATTATATGCTCATATATTTTCTTTAAATTTTATTGATTTAAAGCATCCGTCAAGGTCTAAAAGCGTTTTTAGAGGCGATGGAGTCGGGAGAGTAGAAGGAAACGGAATCTTGTTGCAAAAACAACATAGAGAAAACTATAGGTGAGAAAAAAGCAAGCTTTAAGGTGTTCTTCTAACCAAAAAAGCACATCGTAATGGACAAACTCATGGGTTTTGTCTTCGAAGTCACTATATTTGACGGATCATCCTATTTGATTGTACAAGTATAAAATGTCAAGTGAAATAATTGAATAGCAAAGCAATGTGATGATTGAGAGATTTTTTTTTGTTTTTTAAATAAGGTATAGGAAAAAAATTTATCTATGAATTATTTTCATCTAAATCATTTTCTAATATATTTTTTATTTTTTCAATCCTATGTGGAACCATAAACTAGAGATAATTTCCAAAAGAAGCAAGTAAAAATGGTATATCAAAGAAAAAAGCAAAAGGACTAACTCTTTCTTTTCCTTTGATAAAGCGCTCGATCGTGGGATGATTTTGAACATAATCAAGTTTGTTGACCCAACAAAAGGTGGATTGGGTATATGTTCATTACTATAAGAGTCATTAAATGCATTTGATTCGCTATTCTTAGAAGATTTCGATACAACCGAGGAGTTGGAGGCTTTGTTTAAAGGTGTTGCTTGGTCAAAAGCACCAAGATAATGGAAGCCACTCGACGACCATGACTAAATATATCAAGTCGAGAGGAGGATGGCAAATCTTGAGTTATAGGGTGAGTTTCATAATTTTGTAAGTCAAAAAATGTATGGATTGCAAATACTATTGCGATGATGTTATTTTGACTTCATAACTAGAGTCAAGTGTTTCTAATTGTGAATCCATAGGACCGACACTAATAGAAAGAATTTTTTTTTCTAGAAAGAGATAAAAAGGCCCTTAAGAGACGACCACATGAAGAATGTGTGTTATGAAATATCGATGACATGACCTATTTGAACAATATTGTGGTTGTAAAATGCAAGAAGGCATGAACTGTTTGAAAATGAAAACCCAAATTTTGGTGGTCGTCCGTACAACCCTCACATGCACCTCAAAATGAATAAATGGATGACTATACATACCAATTAATTTTCAATCCGAGTTTGCTGGTTTGTTTTTGACATACAAAAGCGCCTCTTTAAATATGGAAAAGCACTTAAAAATCTTGTTTTAGCAAAACCAAATAATGAGTTAGTGCAAAAGCAATTAAAGATGGAACTCTAAAATGAAGAAAAATAATTATGCATTATAATATATATATTCATAGACTTATACGAATCATAGCATTGTAATCGAAACCGAAAACAACTTAGATAGGCTACAAAGCCAGCCCATGATTGTTAAAAAAAACAAATATATTTTCTATATTTTATACTTGGTTTTTCATATATATATTTTTTTGTTCTTTAGCAATTACTATCATAAATGAAGATAATCCTAAAAGAGAGAAGGGAAAAAAATCATACTAATGGTTCTTTGTAATTAGAAGGAAAAAAGGAGGAGCATTGAAAAAAACAAAATGACCTTTCTATAACAAGTAAACGAGTAATTCAATGTAATATAACTAAAAAAAGGGGATTGAATAACCAAGCATAAAAACATATGCAACATAAACAACACATGCTAAAAAGGAGCGAGTAAGGACACATCCAAGCAAACGACGGATCGTATAAAGTATAAAGGCAAAAAATAGGGTGAAGTGAAACTTATCAAGAAGAAGATAAAAATGGATGACTTTAAATTTTTGTCGAGATTAAGGAGGAAAGCAAGCAAAACCAGGGACTACAAAGAAGTAAAGAAGGTTAAGACATAAGCAAAGATGTCAAAAAAATGAAAGCACCAAAGAGGTGTGATGGACAAAAACAAATTGCGAGTAAGCAATAAAGAATGCAGAGCTACATTGGATATGAAAACAACACAAACTAAAAGATGAGAACCAATGGCCACATATGTCATGTAAATAAGCGGATTGCATATTACCAAAAATGACATACAAACATAAAACATGAGGGGTGAGTGGTGTCGAGAAAGAGTTGATGCCTAAAACAACCAAACTATTGAGGAAAAGGTTAGCTCTACATATAGAAACATAGAGCAAGCAATATAATCTAAAGCGAAACGAGCATAAAAAAATCCAAATTAAAAAAGTGTCTATCAAAGTTCTTGATTAATTATTTTTGGTTTCATTGTAAAATATGTTAATAAATCAATAATATCATTATGTTGGAAGCAAGAAAGCAAAACAACAATAGTAGTCCGAAACTTCTCCTAATCCTTTTCCAATTGAATTTTTTTTCTCTAGCCATGATGAGCCTATAGGTTAATACTATCACTCCATTAAAAGTAGAAATCCAAACTTTAGTGGCGAGTCCAAACTATAAAGAAAAGTGCATCCTAAAAAATGGAAAGAGACATTAAAACATAATACTTGATAAGAACAAAATAATGAGTTAATGCAGAAACAATCAAAGATGGAAATTTTAAATGAAGGAAAATAATTATGCATTGAAATATATGTCCATAGGTCTATACAAAAATGAAAGTCGTGATCGTAAAAGAAAACGACCTAAAAAGTTAACAAAACTAGCCCATGATTTTCAAAACAAAGAAATGGGTATTTGTATTTTTATTTATGATCCCTAATATTTTTTTATTCTTAGCGAATAAATTTTATATATCATACAATAAAAAAATAGAAAAAAGAAAAATAAATTTAATGGATCTCTCTAATTTAAAAGGAAAAAAAAGGAAGAAGGGAATTTTATTATTATTATTATTAGTATAAGAAAACACGGATTTAATGTGATATCAATAAAAAAAGGGACTAAATTTTTTAATATATTTTTTTACAAAAAGTTGAAGAAAAGCATTTAATTGCAGCAACGAATCAAAATTGGCTTCAATAGAAACTACAACAAAGCGAAGTTACCATTTTCACATTAAAATTCTATGTTAAGCAAACCAGGCTATAAGTATTAGATACATGTGTGAGTGTGTGTATGTACACTCACACATATGACTATAGAATGACTTTGCCTCGCACATAGTCTTCTTTAGGATAACCAAATATAGCAATAGCTAGCTTGACCATGACAAACCCCTCATGTTAATCACGATTACAAACACGGTTAAGCTTGAAGCCTATTGTAATAAAAGTGTTGATGTGATCTGTAACTATATGGTAAACTATATACCTTCATTTATATCTACATACAAAGCAAGCATTAAAGATTGTAGAGCAAATTAGATATGAAAACAACACAAATGAGTTTATAGGTTAAATATCACTACGTTAAAAGCGAAAAGGCAAACAACAAAAGAAGTTTGAAAATTCTCCCAATCCTTCGCCAAATGAACGAACAATTTTTTTTTTTTTTTTTTTTTTGCCATGATGAGTTTATAGGTTGATACCATCATTGTATTGAAAATGAAAAACAAACTATGGTCGTGGTCTAAACAGGTTTTGCATGCTTCTCAAAATGACTAAATGGATATCTATATAAATTATTTATTTTTCAACCTAAGTCCGTTAGTTAATTTTGTACATAGGAAAATGCTTCTTATAAAAATCGAAAGGAGCATTAAAACATAGTATTTGATTACAACTAAACAATGAGCTAATGCAAAAGAAATTAAAGATCTAACTTTAAAACGAATGAAAATAATCATGTGTTGTAATAAATATATATACACATAGGTTTATACGAATAACAACGCTACAACTGGAAAAGAAAGTAGCCTAAATAGTGAACAAAACCGGGCCATGGTTTTCAAACCAAAGAAATGGGCATCTATTTTCTTATTCGTGTTCTTTTTTTTTTTCTTAACAAATAACCTTTATAGATGACGTAAAAAAATGAAAAGAAAACAAAAAAATCAATTTAATAGATGTTCGTAATTGGAAAAGAAAAAGGGAAAAGTGCAAAAAAAGAAAAAAAAACTAATTAAAAGGAAACACAAATTCAATGTAATGTCAATAAAAAAGGAAACCGAATTTATTCATGTATAAAAAAAGGAAGGAGGAGCATCTCATTGCGAGCACAATTAAACTTGACATGGACAAACACCGTAACAAAAGGATGTTACCATTTTTTCCACTTATATTTTATGTTAAATGAACATAGTTATAAGTATCAAATACGGTTGTATACACACACACACATGAGCATAGAATGACTCAACCTCACACACATTCCTCTCAGGATAACCAAATATATCAACAATTAGCTTGAAGATGATAAACCTCATATGACAATCACATTTACAAACATAGTTAAGTTAAAAGGCTACCGTAATAGAAGTGTTGATGTGATGATAACAATGTGATAAGCCACATATTTACATTTATAGCTATACATAGAGCAAGAATTGAAGAAGGTAAAGCCGCATCGGTGATGTGAAGAAAATAGGCAATAAAGTACCACAAACAATAGCCACCAACGTCATGTAAAAGAAGACATGGCAAGCAAAGATGAGAAATAGCAATAAGGACACATCTAGGTGCATAACAAACCGATAGGAGGACGTAAGCCATAAGAAAAATTAGTGAAAGTTCTAAAATGGAAGAATTGAAGAAAGTTTACTAAAGTATAAAGTAATGACTCCTAAAAATCTAACAACCATAACAACAAAGACATGAGAAGAAAACCAATATAAAAAAACAAAATACAAATAGCATATAGAGAAAAATGACCAATAAAGAAGAGAAGGATAAAAAAGATATCCCCATGAACAACGTGGAACAAAGCAACAAAAACAAATCGAAAAAAAAAGCATCAACAAGTACATATAAAGGCATCGAAAGGAAAAAAAAACAAAAACAAAAAAACCTACAAAACAAAAAAGAAAGGTACAAACGTGAAGGAAAGGAAACTAACTCGGCACAACAATCAAATAAGTTTGCTAGAAAAGAGAAAGTCTGAAACTAAAACAATGTAAAGAAAAAAAAACACAACAAATGTAGTTAAAAAAAAATGAACACATAAAATGACCAAAAACAAAACTAATTTGAAGAACTACAACAAAAAATTTGAGCAAAAGTGGGAAAGAATGTAATAGAGACAAAACAAAGCAAAATGCAAGCCATATGAAAAGCACAATATTTAAGAAAAGGTATAAAGTAAGAACAAATCTTTTCTAAAATTATTGACCTAAGAAAGGCAAGGAAAGTAACTATAGGAGTGGAAGGATAATCAAAAGTTGGAGCAAAAAAAAGGCCAATAACAACTTGTATCAATAGGGAGTAGAAAATGACATGAAAATCAAGAGTAAGTAAAAAAAACTATGGTGAGAAGTTGATTGATAACAATCTTAGTTGATAGAAAGAATAAGCAATTGCAATGATAATGAAATCTCAAATGACTTTGGTGATCAAAGAATGAATAACTATTTTGAGCTCCAACGAAAGTCAAGAGAAAGAATATGGCGATGATTGCATTGGAAATTGTTTTTCCGTTCTTTGTAATGAAGTAAACAGACAATTAATGAAAGAAAATAACATGTATTAATCATAAATTATATTAGAAAATTGCAACATCAACCTATTTGGTAACATTTTGATGCATAATCGTATACATTTTTTTTTATCTTAGATAACATCTTAAAGAATCTAGATAAATATAAACAATAGATGGTATTGTTAAGCATAATATATATGCGGGATTGATAGAATTCAGATTTAGCGAGATGCATTTCAATTATAAATGTGACCAATGCAATTATGTCACTAGTAATAGTAAATTTAGACATATCCGTAATGGTTTTTTAAGCTCTCTGTCTAGCTAACCTTTATTCTTTTACCAGAAACTTTTTGCATCATTTATTATTTGAAACAATCATCTTTTCATAGAAAAGCTATAAAGGAAGAGGTAAAAATTAATCACAAACTATATTAGAAAATTGCAACACTAACCTACTTGGTAAAATTTTGATACATAATCATATACATTTTGTATCTTCTATAACTTCTTAAAGACTATAGATAAATCTAAATTATAGATCATATTGTTAAGCTCAATATATCTATAAGATTGGTAAAATTGAGATCTACTATATGCTTTTCAATTGTAAATGTGACCAATGCAATTATTAGAGGTGTTCATTCGGTTTTTTGGTTCGGTTTCGGTGTTTTTTTTTCGGTTTTCGGTTAACCAAATTGGCTAAAACCAAAACCAAAACCGAACTGAATTGTTGTTCGGTTTTTCGATTAAAACCCAAATTTTTTCGGTTCGGTTTTTCGGTTTTCGATTAAAAACCGAATTTTTTTTTTTGCTTTTTTTTTCTTTTTTCTTCTAAAAATCGAATTATTTTGCTTTTAAAAAATATCAAACTTGCATAATCAAAGATTGCATATTTCACATTAGATTTTATAAGAAAATTATGTATGATTATTATTATTTTCCTATACTAAATATGTTTCTATTTATATTATAAACTAAATTAGTTGGGCTTCTCATTATTTTTTCAATCACGCTATAATTGGTTTTTTATTGATTTTTCATATTCTTTTTTTAATCTATTTATTTTGTGCATATTTTACTTGTTGAATATATAATATAAAAAATTCAATTTTTAATTTATGTTTGTGCTAATTTTAATACAAGGAGACAATTTTTTTTTTCATGAGGTTTTAGGATTCACCTATAAATTTGTGTTTACATAAAGAATTATTCTTTTTTTATTTTTTTGTGAGTCAATATAATATAATCAATTATTTTTTATTTCAATAAATAATTAATGAAAAATATTTCTATTTTAAGTAGGAAAAAAATCATTAAAGCTATTATTCTTTTAGTTAAACCCATAGGTGCCTCTTTGATTTTTTTTTTAAAAAAAGAGTTTGAGTATGTGTTTAAAAAAAAAAAACTAATTCGGTTTTCGATGGAAACCGAATTTGAAAAAAAAACCGAACCGAACCGAAATAATTTCGGTTTTCGATTTCGGTTTTTTTTAATTTAAAAAAACCGAACAAAAATTGTTAATTCGGTTCGGTTCGGTTCGGTATTTCGGTTTTAACCGAATAGTGAACACCCCTAGCAATTATGTCACTTGTAATAGTAAATTCAAACATATCTATAATGATTTTTAAGCTCTCTATTTAGCAAACCTTCAATCTTTTAATTGTAAACTTTTTTGCATCATTCATTATTTGAACCTATCGCTTTTTACTAGAAAAGAGAGCGACACTCGTAAAGGAAGAAGTAAAAAATCAATCGTAAAGTATATTAGAAAATTGTAACATTGACCTACTTGGTAAAATTTTGATACATAATCCTATAAATTTTTTTTTAGCTTCAATAACTTCTCAAAGGCTATAAATAAATCTAAAAAATACATCATATTGGTAAGCTCAATATATCGATAGGATTGATAGAATTGAGATCTACCAAACACTCTTTAATTGTAAATGTGACCAATGTAATTATATGGCTTGTACTAGTAAATTTAAACATACTTGTAATGTTTTTTTAAACTTTCTATTTAGCTAAGTTGTAATCTTTTAATAGAAATTTTTTTTGCATCATTTATTACTTGAAGCTATCATATTTTAATATAAAAGAGAGCAATACCATAAAGGAAGAGGAAAAAGTTAATCACAAACTATATTTGGAAAGCTGCAACATTAACTTGGTAAAATCATGATACATAATCACACACACACACACACACACACACACACACATATATATTATCTTAGATAACTTCTTGAAGACTTTAGATAAATCTAAATAATAGATCATATTGTTAAGCCTAATATATTTGTAGGATTGATGGAATTTAGATCTACCAAACGCTATTCAATCGTAAATGTGACCAATGTAATTATATCACTTGTAACAATAAATTTAAACATATATGTAGTATTTTTTTTAAGCTCTTTATTTAGCAAAGCTTTTCATTTCTAACATTAATGGCCTTTTTAAATAAGAACCCGATTAAGGTGCCTCTTTCACGGGGTCTCTAGTTCATGTTATTAATTATGTGCATCATATATCTTTTTGCTTTAAAGAATTTTCTTTTCTTTTTTAAAAAGAAATATGATTCATCTTAATTCTAGTATTCTTGTCAATAATTATTTTTCTATTGATAATATTTAATTAAATAAATCAATGTGATTAAAAACCAAATAAATTGAACAAATTTTATTTTTAAACACAAACACCTATATCAAAACTAATAAAAATATAATATAAATCGATCACTATACAATCTTAATACTTTGTATTTTTTTTTCCTTATAAATCTTACTCAACACCCACAAATGCATATCTAGTCCTTTGTTTTTTTAATTACAATCGGGATTCTAAAGCATGGTGATATTTTGTTTTTTAATAAAATCTTTGTGCCATTAGTTTCATTTTTTTCAATGTTACGTGGAAGAGGCATCTATAGGAGTAGTAAAGATTTGTGGGAAGGACTCGAAAATTGATTCATTGCTAAAAGGAAAGGATAAAAAAGAATAACTAGGCTCTCTTTTCATTGCATATCATTCAATCAATTAATCAAGTGTGAAGAAACCGATATGAAAATTGCTTACATGAAAAGCCTAAATTTATAGCTAGTAACCATTAATGAAAATCAAAACGCATTAAGTTAGCAATGTGTGTAGCCTCTGCTAATATGCAACCTCGCTAGTTAGTAGCTAGATGAATGTAATGTATAGAAGGATTCGATATGCGTATCATTATCCGTATATCAATTTAGTGGCGGAATCATCCAGTAAGGCGACGAATGCTTCCTCTCCTTTTTAATCTGTCCCTTTTAGTTAATTAAATCATGCCTTGTCAATGCTCATAAGAGGTTATATACTTAACAAGCATACCTTTTGAATGAGTGGCTAACTAATAAGAGAAAGTGATCAAAAAGATTAATATGAAAGGGAAATTCATAGGGTGGTCTTAATTTCGAAACCTACCCTAGCTTATAGAATAATTGCTTAATTGTTTTTACTAATAAAACTACTTAGGCAACATGTTTGCACCATTATCAATTATTAATCAATTAACATTTGATCATTCTTAATTTATTTTTAAAGATTTTAATTAAGATAAAGGCATATGACAATGGGTAAAAAGTGAAACAAGCATAAAAGGCGACATTTCTAGCAAATTTCAAAGCATACAAAGGAAAAAAAAAGGACCAAGCAAGATAAATGGAGAGAGGAGCATTTGAAATATGGAAGATGCAATAATCATGCATAAACACCGATAGGAATGAGGGAATATTCTATAAAGATAACTACACTTTCGATAACGCGCAACCAATGAGTGCAAATGAATAACGGGAAGGGCACTACAACAAAGAAAAGGAAAAAAAAAGATCCGGATCAATGAAGGAGCATCAACCGAAACATGCTTATCCAAGCACATAATTATGCAAAGAAATATAAGCGACAAACACATAAAATGTATTCACATGTAAAGGCGAACAATAATAGAAGATTCCCATTCCGGACCTCGTCATTATAGAGTATTATATTACTTAACTCTAGTTTATCTTAGAACGTTTAATACATGCTTTTTGGAGGTCAATTAGACATATAAAATGTGTTTAAAATAATCTTATGTGGCGGGCATAAATAAGCATATACCGATATGAATATTTATAGGGAAAAAAATGAGCATTTATTTTGCAATCATCTAGCTAAATAATGGACAAAAAGCATTGACAAATGAAAATGAAGGAATAGGAACAAAAATATAGAATGGAAGGAAAACTATAAGAAGGGAAAAAAACTTACGAGCACTTAGAAAGGGAAGGAGAACAAAACGAAGGAAAAGAGGAGGAAAAACACCATCCAAAATGATGAAATAAAGAAAGCAAATCGAGAGAAAAAGAAATAGCAATATATACAAAGGCAACCAAAGCCAAAATTCAAAATATGTAAACAAAGGAAAAAGGCACAAACATGAAAGTAAGAAAACTAACTTGTTACAATAACTAAAGAAGTTTGATGGAAAAGAGAAAGTAGAAACTAAAACATAGCAAAAAAAGATAAAAAAAAAAAATACAACAAACATAGTCGGTAGAAGGCAATAAAAGACAACAAAGGTAACAAATAAAACAACAAAATAATAAACAAAAGCAATGAAAAATGAGAAAACTAATAAAAACATAAGAGAGTCAATGAATAAGCATACTTACCGATATTAAGAAGTCGAAGATGCCAACACCAAATAGAAAAAAGAAGTTTTCAGCTAAAAAACCAAAGAGAATGGCAAATATAAACAATGGGAAGCCACTTGCAAACCAAGAAAGAAATAAAAAATGATGTAGAATAGAATCGCCACCCAATACATACACCCATAATCAATAGCATCACAAAATGAACATCAATAATAGTAAAGAAAAAAGAACAAATAAGACATAACATATATCATGTAACTCCTCAAGCAAAAACGGATGCCAAAAAAAGGCCAATAATAAATGAATCCAAGTGACAAATCTAAGAAAAATAGATAAAAAAGGATAAAGAATGTGAGCAATAGCAAACACACGATATATAAACAAATTTTTTGGTCAAGCACTCGTAAAAAAGACAATTAAAAAATGGTTTCCAAAACCCAAAACAAAAGAAGCTGGATGAGGGAAGAACAATGCAACAAAGAAAACATTAGTGAAAGTTTTGAAATGAAGAAATCAAAGAAAGATAACACTAAAAGAAAGAAAAGACTACCAAAAAATAAACAACAACAATAACCAAGGCATGAGAAGAAAAGGAATAACAAGACACTAACGAGCACATAGAGATAAAGCATTGATGAAAAAAAGAAGAATAAAAAGGAAACCCAAGAAAAACAAAGCATAACATAATAAAAGGAAATGCGAAAAGGAGCAACAACGAGTATATATAAAGGCAACCATAAGGAAAGCTCGAAATCTAGAAACGAGAGAAGAAAGCCACAAACATGAAAGAAATAAACAAACCTAACACAAAATAAAGAAATTTACAAGAAAAGAGAGACCATGAACCATAAAAAATTATATAAAGAACAAAGAAAATGCAACAAACATTATCGGTAGAGGGCAATTAAACACAATAAGGAAAAACTAAGAAGGTAAATAACAAATGAAAGCAATATCAAATAAAAATATTAAAAAAGGTAAAGGAAAATAGAGTAGAGGGAAAAGTAAAAAAAGAAAGAAAAAATCATCAATTGGCACTTGGAAGGGAAGGAAACAAAACAAAAAAAATGAAGGAAAAATACTATATGAAGGAAGGGAAAAAAATGAATGGTCACCAGTAAAAAAAGGCCTCGAATGAAGCAAGAAAATTAATTTAATCAAAGCTTTATTGAACCAAGTCTTATCATTAGGTGAAAGAATAGCTATATGTACTAGTTAACCCTAACTTCAAAAATTTAGGAGCAAAACACGGACCTTAGTAAGAAGACGAAGAAGAAGATTAGTGTTTGGCCATGGTGGCTCGGCCATCATTCGTTGCCTAAGGCTATTACATCTAGTGGACGGACGGAAACACTAGTGCCACAAAAATGATGCTTGGTCGACTAGAGCGAGTGGTAAGGATGCACGATCGGTGGAAATCGTAAGCGATCGGAATGTAGAGGCAAGTGGAAGAAGCCGAGTAAACCTATAAACCGGACTTAATCATATCCCTTGAAAGATATCCATATTGTCTCAAGGCAACAACTTTCATTAACTCGGAGCTCGCATGCCTAGTCTCTACCATGAAGTTGGAGATGGCTACTTTATAATTTAAGAATGCATCATTCTGAATTTTTTAGCGAGGAGGCCTATAATTCATGATATTCTATTACACATACAACGTTTGTGAAAGCTCAATGGTGAACTTGTGATTGGACTTTTGGACCCAAGAAATGTCATGGTGAAGTTGGATTTAGAGGAAGATTTACATCATGCATTATTTAGGGAAAATAATAAGATTATGAACTATATGTATAGGGTATTTTAGTGGGATGCTAATTTTCGGTTTCATAGAGATAGTCCTCTTATCTCTCGCTTGGGTGAGGTTGCCTCAACTTCCTTTGTTGTATTTTAATCCGACATACCCGAAATGAATATGAGAAGGCATTAGGGGGTTTTTGAGGGTCGATAAAGGAACTATGGCTTTAAAACATTCAATGTATGCTAGAATTTGCTTAGAAGTAGATGTTTCAAAGCCTTTGCTTAATAGAATTTAGGTGGGTAGCTCTAAGGAGCAAGGCTTTTGGTAAAGGATAGAGTATGAGGGTAATTTAATCTATCGTAATATATGTGGCCTTATAGGCCATACCGAAAATAAGAAAAATAGAGTACCTACTAGGGTTATGGGGAAGAGGATGATGATTAAGAGTCTATAGCTTGGCATGGGAAATAATGCAAATGGAGATGAGAATGAGAAGGATCAATGGTTACAAGTGTAAGGCAAAAAGCATTTTATTACCTCGGCCATGGAGAGCAAGATCAAAGGGCCTACCAATAATCCGATTATGGTCATAAAGAGAGGGAATCTAGTATGGGAAAAAAGCAAGATAGTGAAGGTATGTTGTTGACGGAGTTGAATACACGAATGGCGTTTATAGAGGGTGATAAGGAAGGCAAAGCTATGAAATCTATTGATAAGGTAAAGGTCTGGACTTCGAATGATTTTTGCATGGCAATGAGTAATAAATTTGCTCTACTAGAGGTGGCGAAGAGACTGACCATATAGAACTAGAATGTGAAACCATAATAGAGAAAATTGGAGCTAGCAGTGATAATTTAAGGGAGGTCGGACTAGAAAGATTACATTAATTTCGGGAAAAATGGATAGCGAGTGAAAATGTTAGCAAACACGATAAGATTATGAAAACATGGAAGAAAAAGTTTGATAATAAGGAGAGGAATGATAAGGAGGCTGATCACTCAAGTGTGCCATATATTTAGGCGGTAGGTGAAGACATTATTGAAGATGTTGAACAAACGCTTATAACGACGAAATGAGTGTATGTCACGGAATGGGGCTATAGAAGGTTTGCTATGCATAAACGAGTGGGCAACAAGGGAATGAGGCAACGAGTTAGCATAGGATTACATGGTACAAATGTCAATATATCTAATAAGATTATGGATGCAAAAAAGGAAGATCAAAATAGACGAGTTTATGGTTCAAGGCAATAGACAATGAGGAGGCTTTGACACAAGATAAAGTCTCTTTAAGCGACAATGTTGGTGGGATAGATTATGGAATGGTAGAGAATGTTTGCAACCGAGATGGGTATAAGGTGGCCGGGATTAGTTCACATAGAATCAATTGTCTAGATGATCATAAATCGACATTATGGAGAGGGTCTATATTTAAAGAAGAGAGTGAATGGGAGACACATAATTTTTCACACCTATCCCTAAGGAGTCTTGATGTTAATGGGGCAAAGTCGAAGGATGTAAAGAGAACCTTTAAGAAGTTTTAAAAATTAGCCAAAAATAGGAAACTTCAACTTTCCGATTGTGGTAGAAAGACAAGGTCAATTTTTAAAGCCATAAGTACTACATCTATGTCCATTTTAAGATGTTTAGTATTTTTTAGAATGTTAAAGGTATCAAAAACACCAATACGATTAATTATGCTAAATTATTGAAGAAACAACATAGGTCAAAATTTATGACTATTATTGATCCAAAGTTAAGAGGGGACAGAATAGATAATATTAAGTCAATTAGATATAATTGCTTCAAGCACTTGAATCCAATCAATTCTTATATATGATTTTTTTAGGATAAGGATATATCGATAACTTGTGAGGTGATACACAAACAAGTTGTTATAGTAAATATCTTGGGTTATCGAGAGGGTAAGTTGAGGGTTTTGATAGTTTATGGTAGTTGCGATAGGAGGGAACAACATTAGTTATGGAATGAATTGGATAGGTTAGTGTCAATGTCTCAAGAACCTTAGATTACAAGTATGGATTTTAATGTTATTTTGAATCCCGATGAGAAGATAGGTGGCAATAGGACGGATAGTCAAGGTATGATAGATTTAATACTTGTTGTGATAACATTATTATGCTTGATTTGGGCTATTTAGGTAGGTATACTTAGTGTAATAATCAGTTGGGTTTGGGTAGAATTTGGGAAAGGCTAGACATGGTTAGGGTTAATGGGGCATATGTTGCTAACGGGCCAAATCTAGTTATTGAACATTCGATAAGAACAATATCGGATCATAGCCCATTGGTGGTTCGAGTGCCTTAGCAAAGTGATAGAGAGGGTTTGTTTTGATTTTAGTAAATATGGATGGAGCATCAATATTTTTAGGAATCCGTACGGGATACATGGAACATTGTAGCAAGGGGTTTTGCTATGCAAATTCTTCATCGAAGCTAAAAATCCGAGGAACGAGGTTATGAGTATGGAATTGGGAGGTTTTTAGTAATATCTATCGAAAAATGGAATTGTTACAAAATGAAATTTATTAGATAAATATGGATCTAGTGTAGGGATGGAATGCACAATTAGTCGATATGCTTTAGGATAAAACAGTCGAGTTGGCACGGCTAATTCGATGGGATGAGGATATGATGAGACAAAAAGCCGAATTAAATGGTTATAGAAAAACACAAAAGTTCTTTCACGCGTGTATTAAAGACTATTGACATCAACCACCAATGAGTGAAGGGGTCGAGATAAGGGAGTCGCCACCTAGCTAATTAGGGGAAACTAGAAAAACCCTAAATATACTCGGTCTACATGGATATCCGGGTAAGGTGTCGGTTACGTATAGGAAAGATATGACATCACTACTATCCCATCATACCTAAGATAGAGCTGCATGGTTCGTCTATGAATAAAGAAACCTAATTTTCATTCCGTTATGCTTCTATGCCTAATTGTGTGAATTTATTTAATAAAATTATAGGACGAGATGTTTCAAGTGTGAAACGGGGTAGTTGGGGCGTTTAGGCTTGTCCAAGGCCAATACGCCCTACCCAAATAAGGAAAAGGTAAAAAAATTAGAATTTCGATGAATCATTAGAGAACATAACCTATTATCAAAAAATAGGTGAGTTTCTAAAGATAAATAGCCTTTTACCGGCATAAGTTATGAGTCATCAAAAACTTCATCGAAACAAATGGTAAACCACCGACGACTTTAAGTTATGGATATAAGAAGCTACTAACAACTTCGTCACAAAAGTGGGAAGTCATCGCAACTTCATGTCACTCAAGAAAGGAGCAAATGACTATTTTGAATAGTCACTAGCGACTTCATCACATAAATGGAAGCTACCAATGACTTATATACAAAAAAATAAACAAAATATTTTGAAGCCCCTTATGGCTTCATCACATAAATGGAAAACTATCGATGACTTATATACAAACAAAATGAACAAAATTTTTTTGAAGCCCTTCAAGAGCTTTGTCACATAAGTGGGAAGCTACCAACTGCTTATATGCAAACAAAATAAAAAAAACATATTTTTAAAGCCCTCCGATGGCTCCATCATATAAGTGAAAAGCTACCGATGACTTATTTTCAACCATGATGCAATCGAGAACAAAAGGCAAGAAACGAAAAAAGAAACCCACAACAAAACAGGGGAGAACAAAAAAACAAAATAAAATAAAATAAAGTTAAAATAAATATGCAAAATGGATACAAAAATTTACAAAATAACTTTGAACACCACCAAGCGACTTTAAAATCATATTGCACACTACAATCTATCAATCAATCACCCATCGCAAAGCAAACGCAAATCATGTTTTAAAAGTATATTAGTTTGAGAATTTTTACCCAAAGATCTTGTGATTCCAATGTCTAGCTTGGAGTTAGTCTTACTCTCTTTATTCCTAATGATAATTGAATATTCGATTAGTTGGAAAAGGAGAGTGATTATTTATAGTAACGTGTGGTGCGAGTCTTACTAAAATGACTAAAATCTCCCTTGAAATATGTTTCTTGTCAAAAACAATTAAACAAAAACAGCAACAAAACCAAAGCACAAGATCCTTTTTTCTCTTTTTTTAAGGTTTTTTTCTTTCTTTTTCGGTAACACAAAAAGTGTTCAGGCGCTCTTTTGAGGAGGGTTTTGTATCTATTTGATTGGTGTTTTGAGGAGTTTTTTGGGTGGTTTAGAAGCTTATTTAGGGGTGTTTTGGGTCTGCTTTAATGGTTCCAAGGAATCGCCTGAAGAAGTTGCTCTGTAAGGGTTTTTTGGGGTCGTTGGTAACGGTTTTACAGTTGATTTATGAGGTTTTAGTAGACTTTTTGATCTATTTTGGGGCTGGTTTTGGGTTATTTTTGAAGGTTTTTTGGGGGTATCTTAAACCTTTCTTGGGGGTGTTTTAGTGGTTGTTTTAGGTGAGGGAAAGACTAGCCAAAAGGGGTTGCTCTGCAAGAGTTTTTGGGAGCTATTAGTAATGAGTTCGTAGCTGATCTAGGAGGTTTTGGTAGATTTTAGGGTTTGTTTTGTGGCTACTTTTGAAGATGTTTTTGGGCATAAGGAAGAGGGCTACTATGAGGGGGTGTTTGTGCCATGAGAGAGGGTCTGCATGGGTACGTTTGTGGCATGAGAGAGGCTAGGGTCTAGTGGTTTTAAAGGTGCTTGCGATAGGTTAAAGAGAGGGAGAGAGCAGGTGTAGTGGATGTGGGTGTGTGGAGGCTAGTATAAAGGCGTGTGGAGGCTGGTTTGGAGGCATGGAAGGCTGGAGAGAGGGAGCTCGGTTGGGCGGGAAAAGGGCTGGTCGGTGAGAGAAGAACAAAAAATTATAAGCAATCGGTGATTTTAAGTGATGGTGAACTATCCGTGTGATAAAAAATGCATGGGACTTTATATTGGTAGGGTTTTTTTTTACCAAAACCCACTTTGGTCCTTGATTTTCTTCCATGCATTTATTTGGATCCAATTTGTTCTTTTTTTAAATTTAAGCCTCCTCTTGCCAATAATTGGGACTTTTTATTTTAATCGGTTCCAATTATATCCCTTCTCATTTTAATTAAAAGGTTTGAAACTTTGATTCTTTTCTTCTATGCCCTCGATTTTTCTTTTAATTATTTCTAACTTTTTTTATTTTTTTCAATTAAACCCCATTTTCTAAGCTAACTATCCTAATTCTTTTTTTCTTTTTCTTCTTTTTATCTTTTGGTATTTTCATAATAATAAATAAGTAAAAAGGAGCAAAAATTAGGTGTTAATAGTTGCCCTCTCTTTACTAATGCTTACGGTGCAAAGTCATTGAAAAGAAAAATTTTCCTTAGCTTTGCATAATAAGCTTGTAAAGAAATGAAAAATTGGTCAAGAACATATAACGCAAACAACAAGCAAATACGAGAGCAAAACGAGAAAATCATTGAATTTAACTAATAATTGACTATTTGGTGAGAAGATGATCGATCGTTAATTTTGCCGAGTATGACAAACCACATTGACCTCGTATGATATGACAACCACTTCGATCTTGAAAGACATGACGGACCTACACGATCTTATAGGGTGTGACAAACCACTCGATTTTAAAAAGCATGATAAATCACTTCGATTTTGGAAAGCCCGACGGACCACTCGATTTTTAAAGATGCGATAGACCTCTTTGATTTTGGAAGACGTGATAGACCATTCGATTTTTGAAAGACGTGGTAGATCA